TGCTGGCATCACACTGGACACATTGGATTCTGTGCCTATGCTGAAGGATTTCCCAATTTATTCATGGAGAGGTATGATGGAAAGAGATTTAGAGATAAGACTGAGCTGCCAGAGGATGGGATTGCCATTGGCTGAGACGGAGCAAGTCTCAGAGTCGAACTTTTCGGAGGAGATCACATCGGTTTTGATTGTGTTGACTGAGATGTCTTTTTCGGCAGCCAGATGGAGATGTCAAGTGGGCAGTTAGCTGGTCGAGACTATAGTTTATGGAGAGGTCCCAGGTAGAGATCTACATTTGGAGTTTTGGGAGCATGTAAATGGTATTGAAAACCATGAGAGTAGAATGAGTACAGATAGAGAGGAGTGGAAATTTAAGGACTATACTTTGGAGATCTTCAGTGGTAAGGGGTCCTGGAGCTGAGAAGGAATACAGAAATGAGGCTGTCTGGGAACAACCAGTGGGCAGGAGGGTAGAAAGTGTGCTGCCCTGGAGTGTGGGTGAAGGGCTTCAGGGATATGTGAGTGGTGTCCCGTGTATCAAATGCTGCTGCCTAGTGAAGTAAGACCCAAGGACTCACCACTGAATTTAGCAACATACAGGTGAAAAGAAACTGCTTCAGGGAAGTGAGAGGGAGTGGCTCATGATCACAGCGGGTTTAAGAGAAAGAGGAAGAAAAGAATTTAAAAGAGTAAGTAGAGACAATCTTAGGGAATTTGGCTACAAAGAGGAGCAGAGGAGGGGCATCTGGGTGGCTCCGTCAGTTAAGCGTCTGACTTCAGCTCATGTCATGATCTTGCAGTTCATGGGTTTGAGCCCCACATAGGGCTCTGTGCTGACAGCTCGGAGCCTGGAGCCTGCTTCAGATTCTGTGTATCCCTCTCCCCCCACCCCCTCGCTCTCTTGCTCTCTTTCTTTCTCTCAAAAATAAACATTAAAAAAAAAAAAGTAGCAGAGGAGTTCCTGACTGGCTCAGTCAGAAGACCATGCGACTTTTGATCTTGGGGTTGTGAGTTTGAGCCCCACATTGGGTGTAGAGATTATTTTAAAATAAACTTTTTTTAAAAAAAGTAAGAGGAACAGAGAGATGGCAAGGAAGCTGGAAAAGGAAAGTCAAGAGAAGGTTTTGTTAAAGACGAAAAATGGTTTAAAATGATTCGGTTGAGTGGAATACTTGAATGAAAGAAGAAAGGGGGAATATCGCTGAAAGCTATCATCAGTAGGTGAGAAGGGACATCCAGAAGAGGGTTAGCCTTGAGATCCCTGACTGTTTATCGTATTAAGTAGGGGCCAGGTTATGGGCTTGTGCTGATGGCAGGTAGCTGTCGGGGTAGGTACTGGCAGAGGTTTTCTGATTGCTTCAGTTTTCTCAGAGAAACCAGAGATAACATCACTGATAGAGGGTGATGATGGGGGGCAAAACCCTTAGAGGCTGAAGGAGAAATTAGGAACAGTCCAGAAGAAGGAGAGATGAATAGACCAATAATGCAGCATGTGAGTTCCTGTTAGTCACTCAGATAGTATCTCTTTTCTGATTTGTTTGCTTTTCTCATGTTCCTCCCTTAATGGCTGATGTCTAGCATAATTCCAACATACAGTAGATACTTAATAAGTATGTGTTAGGTCCAGACCTGGAATTCTTTCTACCTGTACTTCAGGTACAGCTAACCTGCCTTGAACGCACTCTTCCAACTGTCTTACCCGTTTAATCCTCAGAGCAGTTGCATGCATGGCACTCGAAGCCACAAGACTGGACAGGGTCACCAGGGGCGTGAGGAGTAGGTGTTAGGGTCTTTGGTGTTGAGACAGACCTTATAAGATCCCCTCACCTGCCCCAGGCTGGTCAGTCATTAGGGGGTCGTGCAGAGATACGAATCTCAGCCTGTGTGACTTAAGCCTCAGCCTATAACCACTGCCTCGAGGTTCATCTTGTCCACCTCTTTATCTTTACAATGAGAGAAAAGAGGCCCAGGTTGCTTACTCATCACGCGAATCACAACCGAGACTGGGACCAAGTCCTCTCCCAGGTCAGTGCCCTTTGCACCATTATCCTTGAGATCCATAATGTCTTGAAATCTATCTGAAGTCCAGTGCCCGTAAACACGTGTTAGCTACACATCGTAGTAGCTATGTTGTTAACAGTCCTTAGCAACAAAGCAGCTTGTCCTTTGAGGAGGGGCTCTTGCCTGCCTGCACTGACACAGTCATCCGGGAGAGGGCAGTCTTGTGCTCATAAACCCGCCTGCCCCACCCACAGGCTGTAGCCACTAGTGGCTAGGCTTTCACCCTGAAGCCAGAATGCCTGATTCTTCAGAACATGTTTGCCTGAAACTGTGGTTCTCAAGTAACAAGTTTGTCCCCCAGGTGACATTTGGCAGTGTCTGGAGACTTGGGCTGTTATAACTAGAGGATGGGAGGGAGGTTGCTCCTGGCACGTGATGAGTAGGGGCCAGGGATAATGCTAAATATCCTACAATATGCAGGGCAGCCTGCCCCCCCACCCCACCCCCCACCACCAAAGGATTACCTGGTCCAGAATGTCAGTTGGCATGTTGAGAAGTTGAGAAACTCTGCCCTAAAGGAAAGTCTGTAAACGTCCTGGTATAAATGAACCGGAGGAACAAACAGAAGATGGTTTAGACAAAGATATTCAAAAACGGCAGTGACCAGAATAACTTATGGGTCCTGCTTCTTTGGTGAATGCCCATGGTTTGAAGGCTTACACGAACCCTGACTTACGTTAGCCACGTACCGGTTGCTGTTGCCCCTCAGTGTGCAGAGCTTGAATGTATATGAATGTGCTCTTCAAGGCAGCCGAGAAGAGAGACCATTCCCCGTTAGCACCCAGGGTCTCTGCATTTACCTTTCATCTGTCAAAGAAAACATCCCTCTTGTTCTATGGGAACGTTCTCATCCCCTGAACCATGTGACGTGGTCGGCATGTTGTTGTGGCACCGCAGTCTATCCCCAGGAAATAGTGTGCTTGTTGGCTGGCCTCGCTTACCTCTGATATCCCTCGGAGCGATTTTCCACGTCTCCACTGACCTCATCTACCTAAGCACGTGTGTTAGTGGTGAGGGGTCACTTCCTTCAGCATTGGGAATGCTTTCCTAAAGCACACCTATTCGGAAAAGCATAACCATGTATGGGTGCCATGCCTGAAATGAAAATTGCCTCTACGCCAGAAAGAGCTCAGTGCTCCATAAAATAGCAAATTCTCTGTAAATCAAGCTGCCCCGCCATCTCTCACAGTGTGACTCGTGCTCAGCAGGACACAGAGCCTAAGGAACTAAGGGCAGCCTTCGTCAGTGGAGTGAGATTGCGCTGCCGTGGGATTATCTTCTCCCACTTCCTTTGCAGAGACCCTACTGTGAATGTCTCCAGGCATGTGAATTATGAACCTGAAATCGACTTATGCCTAAGAAAGAATATCTGAAACTCTCTTTAAATGTTGTCCAAGTTGTAGGTTTTGCCAAAGACTGAAGTGCCCATCTTCTTACTTAACAATAGTTTATTTCAAATACATGGTGGAGAACATCTAGAAATCAAACATAGCCATGGAGCTAGGCTTTGGCTTTACTAAATGCACACTGAGTTGAATTGAATTGCAGAGCTGATTCAAGGGTATACTTCCAGGGCTTCTTTAGATGAGGGCAAATAAAGCAGGGTATGGCCACGTGAATGGCAGAGCATTGTTGGGGTTACCACGCGGGTCTTGGTTTAATACAGTATTGAGTTCCTGAAACTTAATAAAATCATGACCACTTACAAAGTGAGATTTCTATGGACCAGGCCCTATTTTAAGCATTGACCACGCAATCTCACTCAAACTACCAGCAGGAAGTTAATTCTCCCTAAGGAGATGAACTAACTTGCCCTAGGCTAACGAGGAAAGGATAAAGGTGAGAAATGAACCTAGAATTTTGACACTGAAACCCAATAGATATTTTATTTTTTTAAACTTTATTTATTTTTGAGAGAGAGAGAAAGAGAGAGAGAGTGAGAGTTGGGGGGAGGAACAGAGAAAGAGGGAGACACAGAATTTGAGGCAGGCTCCAGGCTCTGAGCTGTCAGCACAGAGCCTGACGCAGGACTCAAACTCATGACCTGTGAGATCATGATCTGAGCCAAAGTCATAACACTTAACTGATTGAGCCACCCAAGCACCTCTCCAATAGATAGTATAAATGTTCTAGAAGAGTTAGTCCTTGAAATGAAACCTGAAGTGAATCCTTTGAAAAAAATGAAGACCTTGTCTCTTTTAGGAACTCTACATTTTTGGTGGAGCAAAGGTCTAGAATATAGTCCTAATGGCTTTGTGTGATTCCACCAATTTAACAAGTTTTATTTGTGTCACCAAGTGGTGTGGTAGAAAAACCATAGGTTTTAAAGTCGAATACGTCTGGGTTTATGTTCTCCGTCCACTAATCATGAGCAGTGAGACTTTGTGAAAGTTTCTTGACTCTTCCAAACCTCAGTTTCCATATCTACAAAGTGAAATGACCGCTGAGCACAGGTCAAGCGTCTCACAAATCGCCTACCCCTTTAGTCGTTATAAATATTGTTGTGGATATTATTCCTAAGTTAAAAGTGTGTTCTCATTTTTTAGTTTGTGCTCTGAAGATTTTCAATTACGGTGAGTGCTTTATTTTTTTTCTTTTAACGTTTATTCATTTTTGAGAGACAGAGAACATGAGCAAGGGAGGGGCAGAGAGAGAGATGGAGACACAGAATTGGAAGCAGGCTCCAGGCTCTGAGCTGTCAGCACAGAGCCAGACATGGGCTTGAACTCACGAATCATGAGATCATGACCTGAGCTGAAGTCGGATGCTTCACTGACTGAGCTGCCTAGGTGCCCTTACGGTGGATGCTTTAAACTTGACTTTGGCATCTGTGTTTCACCTAATGCCAACAGCCCGCCATAAGGAAGTGTGGCCTGTTGAATCATCTTCCGTGCCTAGGAAAACATTGGTGTAAAGCATGTTTGTGTTTTAAACTTTAGGAGCCGCACAGGTTATTGAAGGTGGCCGAGTGGAATACAAGCCTATTTTAGGCATTCAGTATATGTGGTGGTACCATTTGATCGGCCTCATCTGGACTAGCGAATTCATCCTTGCGTGCCAGCAAATGACTGTGGCCGGCGCCCTGGTCACTTGCTATTTTAACAGGTAGGTCTGGCGCGTGGCTCCTATTGATTTGTTTCCGTGCTTCGTGTCGGGTGTCACAAAACATATTTTGGAGTCTTAAAAGCGGGGGGTAGGAGTAAAAACTAAGGTAAAAATTGGAGCAAGATGCTCGTCTGGTAGTGAGAAGAAATAGTATACCTTAAATTTATCACATTTCCAAGCTCTTTCGCCTTAGTTTGAAAACTCAGAAGGGAGCGAAACAGGGGCATAAGACAGCTGTGTAGAGTTGAAAGACAGATAAAAGGAAAGGTTGACTTTGGTGAATATCCCTTCTAGTTGTCTTCAAACTTAAAAAGAATTACTGGTCTATTTGGAACACACATCAGTAAGTTCTGTGAGCATTATTTTATCCTTTGTAAAATGAGGAGAATGTTTTCTTGGAAAACTGTTTTATTTTAATGTTTGTTTATTTTTGAGAGAAAGAAGAGATGAGGAGTGCGTGTGTGCAGGGCCGGGGCAGAGAGAGAGGGATACAGAGGATCTAACACGGGCTCTGCACTGACCGCAGAGAGCCCAGCACGGAGCTCAAACTCATGAACTGTGAGATCGTGACCAGGGCAGAAGTCAGACGCTTAACTGACTGAGCCATCCGCGCGCCCCCAGAAAATAATTTGCAGTCCTAAGGAAATTGTATGTAACTGTAAAATGTAGTTTGTGTCTGTATAGTTAAGTACTAATGAATTAATGACTTCTTTGTTCACCATGATACTTATTTAAGTGTTTTCACCCCAGTACCTCATCAGAATTCTTGAGGACACCCTCTCCCCCGAACTTTTTACCTCGTTTGTGTGTGAGTCTCCATGCGGCAAAGATAAAACCGCAGGCAAACGGAGCAGGCCAGGACGATGGCAGGCTTGCGCTGACAACAGGAAGTTTACTCCCAATAGGGCTGCTCCTCCTCTAATCTTTCAGACCAAATGAGCAGATAAGCATGAGTCTTCATGGGGGTAAGAAAGTCAACCAGGGATGATTCATCCCAATGAGCAATTACCTCCCGACAGTAAGGAACACCGTGGGTTTTAATACAAGGGTGCTGTTTGGGAGCCTTCATCACTCCAGACTGTGGAATACACGCAGGGGCTGTAACCCTTGGCCTCGAGAACCTCTGAGCCCTTAGAGGTGGGTGGCGTGTGCTGCTTGCTCCTGAGTACAGGAGCAAAGATTATTTTCACCACATTGGCCAGCAGGTAACATCTGTGTGACAGCAGCAATTTTGTGTTATCTTAGAATCACCAAACCAATCACTTTCAGCGAGGGTTTGGGTGTGGACTTCCGGTGAAGCACATATCTGGGTCTCCTAACTCCTCCTCCTCCTCCAGCGCCCCTCCCCACAACCCGAAGGCATGAAAGGGGAGGCATGAACGCACCGGGACAGTAGGAAATGACGGAAAAGAAACGTCACCCAAATGGTGAAAGCTGAAGAGAGGATGGATGGGTAGCGACTGAGCAGACTGGACAGACCTCAAAAGGCCCGTCTCTGTGTGTTGGGAAACTAAGATACAGGCTGATACGAGCTACAGAAACCTAGAGAGGACCAGGAATTCAAGTGTGAATTGTACTTCTGAAGGTTAGCTACAGGTTTTCCTAAAGAGCAGGTGGGCTCCAGGGCCCTTCCTCCAAACCAGCAGAAGATAGGAGCTTTGCTCTCTGGAGAGGTAAACCAGAAAGCGTCTGGACCTGGGGTGTCTGCCGCAGCTGAGGCTGGGGGCAAGGCTGTGTACTGAAAGGAGGAGAGGGATAAGTGAAAGCGGGGGGGGTTCCTAGTGAGGAATAGTGAGGACCCTCCACCCACACTGCACCACCAACATGCATTCCATGGCTCAGCTCCTAAAATGTTGACAGCCAGGTTGATACCGTGCCCCCACCCCCACAAGAGATTAGAGGATTCTTCTTTGGAGAAATTACAAACCCAGAGTAAAGACCTACAGATAACCTGGTGGGGGGAGTGGGTCCCCCAGTGAAATAATTCCCTGACAGAACCAGACAGTGAAACCCACCAAGCACTGTCTCCCCTCATGTAGAACTTCCAGTTCTCTCTTTAGAGCCTCAGTCTTAAATCTGGATTGGTAGCCAGTGATTATTAAACATTCACAGAAAGCCTCTAGTAAAATAAAAAGTTCAAAATGAACAAAACAAACAAAGGGACTTTAGGGAAAATGGAGACAGAGCAGGCAGCAGGAAATAAAAACTACAAAAAGATGAACGATAATATTCTCAGAAAGAACAAAGAAATACTGCATCCATAAAATAAGCACCAGAAAAAAAGAATGAAATACCTCTTAGTAATTAAAAACAGGACTGCAAAAGTGAAATTTTTTCTATTTAAAAATTAAAGAATTTTTCCAGAAGGTAGAGCAAAAAGACAAAACAGAAGGAAAATAAAGAAAGGATTAAAAGTTAGAGGATACACTTTGGAGACCCAACACCTGACTAATAAGATCCCAGAAATAGAGAACAAAGGAAAAAGAAGGGAGGAAATTATCAAAGAAAATTTCCCAGAGCTGGAGAACATGAGTAAAAGGAAGGTCCCAGAACTTTCTAAAGGGAAAAATAGATCACAGGCAAAGATCAAGAACTAGAACGGGTTCTCATGTTCAACAGCAACTCTGAACCCAGAAGGCAATGGAGTAAACAAGGAGAGATTATTTCCTAATCTCAAATTCTATGCCTACTCATACTGTCAGTAAAGGATAAAGGAGAATAAAGTCATGTTCAGGACTGCAACATCCCAAAAGACTTTACTCCCCATACCCATTTTTAGGAAGGGTGTTCTGCTCTGAAATGGACAAGTAAAACAGGGAGGAAAATGAGTTTCAGGAAATGGGTTCCAACAGCACAAAGAAGAACAGGGAATTCCCAGAAGGGTAGCTATGAAGCAGGTATAAAAAACATCTAGGGGTGCCTGGGTGATTTCGATTTCAGCTCAGGTCATGATCTCACAGTTGTGAGACAGAGCTCTGCATCAGGCTCTGCACTGGGCAGATAGCCTGCTTGAGATTCATATTCTCTCTCTCTCTCTCTTCTCTTTCTGTTTCTCTCTCTCTCTCTCTGTTTCTCTCTGTCTCTCTCTGCCCGTCTCCTGCTTGCTTGCCCATGAGCACGCTCTCAAAAAAACAAAACAAAACAAAAAACCTAGTCTAAGGAGAAGCAGGAGAGCAGTGGACTCCAGGAGGCATGTCTCCAAGGTGGGGGCGGGGGCAGGGAGAAGGAAAAAAAGAAACTATGAGAATACCAGATGTATTTAAACATGCGGAGGATAGATTTACACTTTGGTGAAGCATTCAGTAAAGTCCATGGAAAACTAAGCAAAATAAAAAATGTGAAACAATTATTAACTTCAGGAAAACCCAAAAGTTGTATAGGAAAGGAATTATAATTAGAATACAGTACTTGGTTTATAAGTCAATAAAAATAAATACACAACTTTTTTAGAGAATATACTACTTAGATCAGTTGTGAATGTTACTTATATATGGATAATGTAAACACTAAATATTAACTAAAACATATTCAATGGTAAAAGGTTGAAAGTTTTTCCTCTAAGATCAGGAACAAGAGTGCCAACTCTCACCACTCCTATTCAATATAGTACTGGACGTCCTAGCCAGAGCAAGAAAAAGAAATAAAAGGTATCTAACTAAGAGAAGAAGAAGTCAAATCGTCCTTGTTTGCAGATGATATGATCTTATATAGAGAAAAATCCTAAAACCTTTACTAAAAAACTGTTAGAACTTATCATTGGATTCAGGAAAATCGCAAGATACAAAATCAACATACAGAAAACCATTGCATTTCAGTATTCTAGCAACGTGTTGGAAAAACAAAACAATCCCATTCACAAAGCATCAAGAACAATAAAATACTTAGGAATAAATTTACCAAGGAGGTAAACAATCTGTATCCTGAAAACTGTAAGACTCTGATGAAAAAAATTGAAGAAGACACAAATAGACATTTCATGTTCATGGATCGGAAGAATTCATATTGTTAAAACACCCATACTGTCAAAAGCCATGTACAGATTCAGTGCATTTCCTGTCAAAATTCCAATGTCATTTTTCACAGGAAAATAAAAGCAGTTCTTAAATGTGTGTGGAATTAAAAAAGATTCTGAATTGCCAAAGCAGTCATAAGAAAGAAGAACAAACCTGGAGGCATCACACTTCTTGATTTCAAATTATGCTTCAAAGCTATAGTAATCAAAGTAGTGTGGTACTGGCATAAAAATGACACATAGATCAGTGGAACAGAATCAAGAGCCCAGAAAGGGAAAAGGATAGTCTCTTTAATAAATGGTGTTGGGGAAACTGGTAACTCCATACAGAAGAATGAAATTACATCCCTATCTTATATCACAAAAAAATTAATTTGAAATGGTCTAAAGACTTAAACATGAGGACCATAACCATAAAACTCCTAAAGAAAACATAGGGAAAAAGCTCCTTGACATTGGCCTTAGCAATGTTTTTTGAATATGACACAAAAGCATAGCAACAAAAGCAAAAACTGGTAAGTGAGACTATGTCGAACTAAAAAGATCTGCACAGTAAAAAAGAAAAAAAGAAAAGGCAACCTATGAAATGGGGGGAAAACATTTGCACATCAAATATTTCATAAGAAGTTAATATCCAAAATATATGAAGAACTCCTATAATTCAATAATAACAAAAATTTCGGTCAAAAACTGGGCAAAGGAACTGAGTAGCTATCTTTCCAAAGAAGACATACAAATGACAAACAGGTACATGAAAAGGTGCTCAGCATCACTAATCATCAGGGAAATGCAAATCCAAACCACAGGGAGCTATCACCTCACACCTGTTAAAATGACTGTCATCAAAAAGATAAGAGATAAAGAGTGTTGGCAAGGATGTGGAGAAAAGGGAGCCCTTGTGCACTGTTGGTAGGAATGTAAATTGGTACAGCCACTGTGGAAGAAACAGTATGGAGTTTCCTCAGAAATTAAAAATAGAACTACCACA